AAAAAACCCACCAGGAGCTGGATACCTGCTACTGCCAGGCCTCTATACCTGACCCCTTCCCCTAGGGGCTGTTTTTTTCCTCCAGTTTCTTCCACTTCCTTTCTTACACCATTGTCCCACTTGCCCCTGAGATCCTTATCAAAGATCCACCCCAAGTGAAAACCCAAGAATGCCTTCCAAAGCCTCTGCTCTTCTCTTCAGAGCAGAGCCTCTGAACACTGAAATCTTTAAAGCAGATGAAGATCTGTGATTTAAAGATACAAGTGCTGGGGCCGCCTGGGTGGCTCAGTGGGTTAAGCAGCCAGGTAGTGATCTCATGGTTCATGGGTTCAAGCCCCGCGTGGGGCTCTGCACTGACTGTGCGGAGCCTGCTTGCAATTCTCTCTCCCTCTCTCTGCCCCTCCCCAACTTGTGTGCTCTCTCAAAATAAATATATAAACTTAAAAAAAAAAAAAAGATATAAATGCTCAAGGCTCCACTCACAGCCTAGGGGGCGCTGACACATTCCAGGGCATGGTCCCTCTGTTCTCTCCCTCCAGTGTGTGGCCTCTGCTGCATCTTGTGTGCTGCCTAATTCTTCTCCCTCTGCTCCCTCTCCCTTCTCTCTGTCCTTGTAGCTTCCCTTAACTGACTATAATGTGAAAACAAAACACATTTCTAGCATTGGCTGTGCCTATTGAACAGTATGTTATGGTCCTGTTGCTAATTTAGAAACTTAGTGAGTCGAACAATTTCTATTTTTCTCTTTAACAAAAAAATAAAGCCAGGTTCTCAAATGTTTCATATAGTACTGCCTGTCCTGGGAGAGTCTGCCTGGCAAGTCCCAACCTTCACTGGGCCTCAGTTTCCCCATCTTCCCAATGAGAGGCTTAGAGCAGACTGTGCTGGAAGCCTGTCTAGCTGCTGCCATAGGGGTGTCACTGACTCAGGTCAAGAGCCAAGAGGAGACCCCCACCTCAGTTGGGCTGTCCCTGCAGGTATCCACGACCACATGCACACACACGCATTCACTATAAGACACACTTGTGCAAGCACTCCAGCCTCCCTGCCTGGAAAGGGCCTGCTACTCAGCCCCATGTGCACACACCCACACCCATGTGCACACACTCTCAGATCACGCTGAGTTGGGAAACGGGGACCATGCCCCCTCAGGCAGGCGATTACAGATTTAATTAAAAGTGACACAGTAAATAAAAAACATATAAAATGTAATTTGTGTGGGTAGCGAGGGGTGACTGGGGAGGGCGGTATGGCTCCTGTTTTAATTAGTGTGCCTGCCTGTGATAGTGCTCCTCGGCTGGCTCGGGCAGGTGGCCTGCAGGCGGCCTGTGGCAGGGATGGGATGGTGTGTGTGGGGGAAGCATCTGTCCTCACCCATGCCTGAGGCTGCCTAGAAGGCCTGGCTGACCCTAAGGGTGGAGGGGGGCCTCCCTGAGGACCCTGGAGGATTCCTTGCATTCTGAACACTATCCAGAAGCTGTGGGACTTGTGTTCCAAGACCCTCCACCTGGTGGGACCCTTGGATTCTGAGGCTGCCTTGTAGGTGCTCACAGAATTATGCTCAACAGACCCCAGGGCCCTAAGGCCTGCTGCTAGAGCTCTCTCTCTAGTGCTTGACTCTTGGTCTCCTTCCCCTACACCTCCCAAGATCTTCAGGAAGTTCCTCCTCATGTCTGACTCAAATCCTTCCAGCTGCAGTGACTTCGTTTCCTCATTATGAAAGCTGCCCTGTCCCTGGACAAGGAAGGAGACGTTGTTGTCTGTGAGTGAGGACGTCCCTGTTCCTCCAGCCCTTGAGGCCACTTGATGTGGTAGCTCCTCAACCCATGCTTGCATGGGGCCAGGGAATGGGGGATGGTGGGGAGGAGCTGCTTTGGGGGCCTGTGGGGACTTGGTCCAGCATGTAGGGGAACAAGTTGTGTGCAAGCATTCATGTGGGCACATGTCTACACATGGGCAGGAGACTGCACATGCACGGGGTGGGGAGTCTGAGTGCTTTGTAGTTTGCTGAGGGTTAGTGTCAGGCTGTGCCTGAGAATGATTTGATGACTGTGTGTGGGTGAGCATGTGTGACCTTGGGTATAAGGGGCTGAAGGCAGATGGCACTGGTTGAGCACCTGGGACCTGGCAGTGCCCAGGCAGTGGGCCTTGCCCCCATGGTGGTGGGGGAGGGTTATTTCTGATTGCTCTGCACACTCACAGCCTTTGTAGATGTCCGTGGGGATCTGCACGGCCGTGTATGAGTAGTTGACCTTGTTCTTGAAGTTTGAGTCCTCAACGAAGTCCAGCCTTAGGGTGCTGGCCTTGGACCCCCTTTCCACATCCTCACTCTCAGGGTCGTCCTGCAGAAAGGGATACCCCCCACCACAGTAGTGTCAGGGCTGGGAAATGGGGAGTGGGGTTGGACAGCTCTGCAGGCAGGAGAGGGCCAGAGCCTAGGTGATTAGGACCATCTCAGAATCAGAGACTATTGCAGTTAGAAATGGAGAGAGATGGAGAGACACAGGAATAGATGGATACGGGGTACGGACCCCTCACCCAGGAGGCCTGTGACTCCCACCTGCCCCTGCCCACCCTACCCACCATCCCTACATTTGCTAAACCCAAATTCCAAATGCCAAATTGACCCTTTCCCACATTCTTGAAAACCAATTATCAGTGAAGGAGACAAACCTTGGAGCCACTGAGAAAGAGCGGGCTGCAGCCCTCTACTTATAAGGACAGGCTTATGCAATCACAGGGAGGCCTAGGCAGCCCGTCCCAGGAGCCTTGGAACACACACCCCCACGCTCCCTGGGCCCCGCCCATCCCCTGCATGGAGTTCCTTTGGCACCAGGGAGAGGGCCCTTGCCCCATCTGGGGGAGGGGCACCATCCCTACAGCTGATGGCTGTAGGGGCTGAGTTTGGGGGGAGAGCTGGGCTGGGGTGCAGGCTAGCATTGAGACCCAGTAACTTCCGGAGGGAGGGTCCTCAGCGCCCGCTAGCAGCAGGATTGCAAAGGTCCCCGTTGACTTTCTAAAATGAGCTGCAGCCGCCTGACAGGTGCCAATTACGGCATCTCTCGGCCGAGCAGGCTGGGCATGCGCCGTGCACCCCCGCCCACCACCACAGGCTGGCAGGAATGGGTCTGCAGCTACAGTGTTGATGCTGCAGCCGAGTGGGGGTGGGGGCAGGCAAGGGTGCAGGTGTGCAAGGGGGAAGGGAAGGGAAGATGGTGGCAGAGAGTGAAGAGGAAGGCAAGAAAGAGCCAGAGGGGGAGGCAAGGAGGGACGGAGATCAAGGCAGGGCAGGGGCAGAGCTGGGGGGGCCCTTGTGCCCTGGGAGGAAGGGGTGTAAGCAGCTGGACTATCCACATGCCCTCTCAGTGCCCTTCAACCTCTGGCTCAGCTCACTTCCACCCCCTCGTGGTTCTGCCGACCACTCACTGGGTCCTAGGCACAAGCGCGGTGTTCCCTCCTCCTGCTGTATCTTGTCTGGGGAAAGGGTGATCGTGTCTCCCTACACGTCCGTCCCCAGCCCAGGAGGGCTCTGGGCTCATCCTCCAGCCTGGGAAATGAATTACTGCCTAGATGGGGGTGCCGTGTGGGGGTTGGCATGGCTCGGAAGGGTCTGCAGCATCTCTTCAAGGGTGGATTTTGTACGGCAAAATCCAAGCCATCTGCTGCCCTCCCCTCATCCCTCACCACGTGTGCCACCCTCTGCCCACCTCGGCACACCCTTGGAGGACCCTCAGAAGCTCCTGGATGCTGGGTAAAGCCAGGGCAGGCAGCTGCGGAGCCTGCCGCCTCTGAGGCGTGAGCCACTCACGTTCTGCTTGGAGGAGGGGGAGGTGCGGGAGAAGAAAGCCCCCGAAATGTCAGCGGCAGATGAAGGGCGCTGGAAAATTTAATCTCCCAACTTTCCCAACTAATGTGACATTTGGATTCCGTTCTGATAAGCTATCAGCTGGCGAACTTTTTCCTTCCTTCTCTTTCCCCCACCCCCACCTTCTGGTTGGTAATTTAAAAGTAAATGGTCTAGAAAGATCTCTAACTGTACCTCTGGCAAAGATTAAAAAAACAAAACAACACAACGCAGGGGAGTTGGCAAATATGTGCATATTTATAGGAGGGCCAGGAGAGGCCCAGCTTTTGGCCTGACCTTAGCCCAGCCCCACCGAGGATGACTCTCCCTCCAGGGGCAGGGAATCGGTGATTTAGGGCCAGGGGTTGGGAGTCCTGGACACAGGGAGTTCAGGGGATCCTGGTAGGGGCCTTGGTACCAGAAAGGCCAAGAAGCCCCCTCAGTGCTACCCCCATGCCAGGGGTTTTGTATGGTGGGCAACTGCCGTCTCCTGGTTTATATTTAATGCACTGATTGCTAAAATTACAGCCCGCTGCTGAGGGGTGTAAGGAATTAGATTCAGGGTCTAATTAAAGGTTCGCTCTTCATTTGAATTTCAGATTCCAGCTTTAATTTTAGCAACTTCTCTGGGAGCCACGGAGGCTCAGCCAAGGGGGAAGCACACCTGCTTTAGCCCACCCACTCCTCCTTCTTGGGCCCCCTGCCCGCCTGCCCTCCTGAAGGCTTACCCAGGCCAGCCTGGCACCACGGACCCTCTGCAGGGATCGCTTCCTGCCTGCCCACCTCCTGGTGTCATTGTCTACCTCCTGCTCACCCCAGGAAATGCCCCTGGCCAATAAGCCTGGCAGAGGAACACCGGATTTGGGGGCTCCTGCCCCAGCCAGTGCAGGTGGGATTCCAGAGAGTGAGCTGTTATGACACCTCTGTTCACAGAGGAGATAGTCAGGTTCAACTGCTTTTGCCTCAAAGGCAGGCAGATGGACTTGGGCCTTGACATGTTCACCAAACACTGTCTACTCTGAGTGCCCTGCACTCTTGGGCACTCTTGCCTCCTCAGTAGGTCCCTTGCTACCAGAATGGTCCTATGTCTTTCATGTGAGGCCTCTGGTGACAGGGCAGCCCAAGCAGACATGGGCTAATCAGTGACACAGAGGCAGAAAAGCAGTGTAGGTCTGGGTCCTCCGGTCACCCCGAGTGCCGCCGCTTCTGAAGCAGTGACCCCAGCAGAGCCCGAGTCCTGTCCTTCGTCTGGAGAACAGGCACAGGGCTGGGCTGCCTCTTCAGCTAGGGCAAGACTGACTGAGCTCCAGGTGAGCACAGCGGGGACCACTGTGGGGTGCTCAGCACAACTGAAGCTGCTGCTCCCCTCACCACAGGGAAGGTACCTGCACCACCTGAAGCACACCCGATGGCCTACAGCCACAGCCACAGCCACAGCCACAGCCACAGCCGGGCCCTGCCTGCACATCTCCAGGAAGCCCTCCCAACTGCTCCCTCTTCCCTGCTCCCATAGCAGTCAGTCCCCTCCATGCTGGCACCTGGACTGACCCACCAGATGAGGTCCAAGTGTCTCACTACCTGTCTGGGGCTGGGCATGGGGCCTGTGCCACCAGTATTTTGCAGGGTGACCTCAGAATGTGGAAGAAGCTGAGACCTAACATTTCACAGCTGAGGCCACTAGCCCAGGGAGGGTGTGGGGCTCTGGCAGCTCTCCCTCCCCCAGTGTAGGTGGGGCACTCACCAGCTCAGCATCGGCCTTGGCGTCATAGTACAGGATGTCTTCCTCCTGGTGGGAGACAGACACCTTGACCCCCACAGCTTCTTACAAAGTCACCTGAGGTGCAGCCAGGATGCCTGCCCTGAGGCCAGCAACGGTCCCCTCACTCATCTCTCATCCAGAGGAGCCAGGGGGAGGGCTGTCGGGAGTCAGGCCTGGCATGCCCACCCCCACCCCAGACAAAGCCCTTCAGGGGCCCTCACAGGCTCCAGGGGGATGTGGTGCTCCAGGTTGGGTGGGGATTCCCCAGGGCTCCTGGACTCCAGGACCAGGGTCTTAGTACTGCAGCCCAGCTGAAGGGTGGGGTCAGAGCCAGCCTGTGTGCATAGACTCTGACTGAAGCACTACCAGGGTTGGAGGGTGTGTGTGTGGGGGGGTGTAGTGAGGAAGATGGGAAAATAGAGCCGAGTCTGGGCCAGAGTGAAATAATGACTCGACACCGCATCTTCCAATTTCTTCTATTAAAAAGCCTGCTCATTACGGGCATGTACTTATTAATTATCTGTGATTTGTTGTGAAATGCAAGGGGGTTTACACAACAGGAGCGGGAGAAAACAAAGCCCAGCCCCCGCGCCTGCCTCCCGGCCGCCTGCGCCTGCAGTGTTAGCCCCACACATCCCGGCCTCACCCGCCTGCCCGACGCCTGGGTTCTTGGCCATCTGCGCGTCATAATCACCGGCCACCCCGGGGACCCGTAACACAAACGGGCTAATTTCATGTTTAATGATCTTTAATCAGAACTGAGCGTGGCTGACAGAGGCCGCCAGAAGGTGAATCTGGTGCCATCGAGTGCCACCGGCTTAGGAAGGGCCATTCCACTCCTGCCCTTGTGGGCTCTAGGGTCAGGACACAGGATAAGGCCACTGTCCGAGTCACCCTCTTCCAGTGCTCCTCAGTGCTGTTTGTACAGCAAAAACCTGGTGCATGGCCCTGGCAGTCTGCTTTTTTGTGGTCTGAAAATGGGGGTGTTGATCAAGAAGTTTGGTCCCAGTGATGCTCCCAATGGTCTGGCTGTAATACAGCAAGCACAGAGCCAGCGATTACTCTTTGGTGGGCAGAAGTCACCTTGGCCGGTTCTTTGCCGTGTGACCTCAGGGCTGCACTGCTCCCTCCTAGCTCAGGCTCCCCATGCTTCAGGGTGGGGCTTGGCCTTGGTGACTGCCCAGGTGCAGGGTCTGAGGCCATGGTGTGAGGTGGTCAGTATGGGGGCCTGTTGTGGGGACAGTGGTGAGTTGTCTCCCACCAGAGGTCTGGGGGCTACAGGCCACTGGCTATACCCGTAAGCATAATCCAAGCATTCTGCAACACTGACTACATGCCTGGCACCACGCTTGGGCAAGACCACAACAGCCGATGAACGTAAGACCAGAGGAGACTTGATTGCTTCCGTCACCAGAGACATCTGTGTCCAGCATTTTGCACATACGGTAATGTGGGGCTTGTGACCCCCCAACATACAGATGAGGACACGGCAGGGGTAAGAAAGGCTTCACACCCAGGCTCCAACCTGCCTTCCTGTTGCATCTCCAACCCTTCCCACACCCACCCACCCACCAGTCCAGGAAGACTGGAGCCCAGGTGGGCCCGGGGTGGGGGTGAGGGCCGGGGCCCAGGCTCCAGGGTGCTCGGCCTTTCCTTGCGCCTGGCTCCGACCGAAGCACATAATGAAAGCTGACATTACATCAAACACAATAAGGAGTTTCGGTTGATGAAGATCATTCCTGAACACACAAACCCATTAAACCGAGGGGAAAAAATATCAATTCAACACACTCGCTGGCAAAAAGAAAATGTGATTTGTTATCTAAAAGGGGGTTATAAACACGGCTCTGATGCTCTTTCCCTCCGTAATGAAAACAGGCGGGCGCGGTGGGAGGACTGCAGATTAGAACATGGGGCTTCACTCACCAACTTTTTAAGCAAACCTCCAGCAAGGACGGGAGAGGGCATGGGCAGGGGCCGGCAACTCTGGGGCCCCCAGGAGACCTGTGCTTCTCTCACAGGCTGGGCTGGCTCCTGTCTGCACCCGGGCCACCCCTGGGCCACCCTTCCAGTTGCTCCAATGGCTCCCTTTGTCTTTTTGTCCTGCTGTTTCATGGTCTCAGCAGAGAATCAGATGTTGGTGGCATCAGTGACACACAGGGAACGTGTCATTCAGGAGGGTTCCGGTCCCCTGTGGACCATGCACAAGGCTCAGGAATCTGTATGTGGCCCTTGTCCCTCAGGAGGCAGGACCCCTCCCTACGTCTCCCACCTTGAGAGGCCAGGCCATGCCCCTTCCTTGGGAGAGAGTAGCATTAGCATGGGGTGGTGGCGGGCAAGGTCACATGTGTGAAAATACACTGTAGACACAGCTGTGGTCTCTATGCTTGATGTGATGTGGAGCTGGGGGTGTGACCATCAGGGTTGGGGTGGGAGGGTCCCTGGAAAGGCCTTTGTGTCTCCTTTGGCCTGCACAGTGCCCTGGTGTCCACCATTACTGCCCTGCCTTGGTAAGACCACGAGGAGGTGGTACCTAGTGATTACACGCAGGGGCCTTGGCAAAGGGTCCTGGCCTCAAATCCTGACCTGAACAGGTGAGCTCTGGGATCCAGAACAGTGAGTGAAGACTAAGCCTGGGGCGCCTGGGTGGCTCAGTCTGTTGAGCGACCGACTTCGGCTCAGGTCATGATCTCACGGTTCGTGAGTTCAAGCCCTGCGTCAGGCTCTGTGCTGACAGCTCGGAGCCTGGAGCCTGCTTCTGATTCTGTGTCTCCCTCTCTGCCCCTCCCCTGCTCATGCTCTGTCTCTCTCTGTCTCAGAAATAAATAAACACAAAAAAATTAAAAAAAAAAAAAAAGACTAAGCCTGAAGCCTCAAAATCCCCAGCAGCTCCATAACTACCCCCGGGAGTCACCGCCATCTCATCAGTGAGGCACGGGTGCCTGTTAAATCCTGCAGCCTCAGTGAGGCTTTGCTTCAGGGTCTTGATTTCCCACTATATAAAGTCGGGATGATGATGATGCCCCCTCTGAGGGAACTAGGACAGGGAGCAGGGCCTCCCCAGGCATTAGGGCCAACCCTATGCATGGGCGGCCCTTAGGTTTGCAACTCCACAGCCCTGGGAGGGGCCTGAATGTGGAAGAAACCCTCTGTTTGTGGAGAAATGGGCATCCCTAATGTCTGGGGTTTATACCCAACACCCCTTTCTATTACCTGGTATTTTAGGGGCCATTTTGCTCAAACTGGGCAGGGGGTGGAGGGAATCACCCCTTCTGAACTCACATTTCTCCCCCGTGTGGATTTCTGTACACAGATGACACAGGAAGGGTGGGGCTAGGGGCCCACCTGGCCCTTGTATAGATGACACATACACTTTCCTTAGCTGGAGCTGAGCCCAAAAGAGAACACGAGGGGTGCTGGCAGGTGGGAAACAGGGTGAGGAAGCGAGCATGGGGAATAGCAGTTGGTGTCATTTGGTACCATGGGATACAGTGAGGATGCTTGGCCTTCCTGCCCTGGCTCATTGCCAGCTCAGCTCAGCCAAAAGGACTGTTTTCTGAGAGAGCCGTCTGTCGCCGGCTTGGCAGAGAGGCAGGCAGCAGGTCTGATGGCTGGGGCAGACTTCAGGCTGGGGAGGCCACCTGTCCTGTCCAGCCGGCTCCTCTGGCCTGGCCCAGCCTTCACAGTCTTCCTTTTAGGTTCCCAGACAGAGCTACCTCTCCCATCAGACCCCCCAGGGTAGAGCTGTGTCCGCCACTCCCAGACTCCCCAGGGTAGGACTGCTTCCTCCATTAGACTCCCAGGGCAGGACTCTGTCCTCCCACAGGTCCCGATGTTGGCATTGAGGCCTTGGGGCCAATGGCATCTCCTGCCTCTTCCACCCATGCCCTGGCCCAGCTCCTCCCTGGTGGCGGTTTAGATGGCAATTAATGCTGGCACAGTGTGGTGGTGGTGCCAGGCATGGTGTCCAGCAGGCAGGCCATCTTCATCTACCCTAAGTGTTATAGGCACCAGAGCACCTGCTGTCTGTCTGCAGGGTCATGGGAGGTGCTGCCTGCTAACAAGGACCATGGTTTTCCTGGGGTCCAAGGGCTGTGGCTACAGGTTCCCTGCCTCTGCCGCAGCCAGTATGTGGGGTCATGGCCTGAGACTAAGAGGGAAACTGGGGGCCTTCACATCCAGACACGGCTCCCTCACTCTCTTACCTCAGCTCTGACCTTGCAGACCCCAGGATCCCCCAAGTCCCTGGGCTGGTGTAGATGGTATGTGTATACAGATGTGGCTATACCACTGTCCATTTCTCAGAGGTCTGCATATAGACCTACTGTGTGCTGTTGACACAGGGAGGGCCACGTCCTACTGATCGTGAAGTGGATTCCATGTGCCAAGCATCTTCTCTGTGCCCAGAACTGCCGGGTGCCATTCTCCCCATCTCAGAGGTAAGAAGACTGAGGCCCAGCTGCTCTTGGCCAACTTGTCCACAGGGCACTCGACTGGGTACATGGACAGCTGGTGGGCAACACTGAATCAGGTCCAGCTGCTTCTGGCCTAGAGGAGCCTTGAGCGGGGCAGACAGATGAGCCCACTGGGATACTGGCCTGGGGCAGCGGGTGCCAATCCTAGGCTTAGAGACCAGAAAGAGGAGCCCGAGGGAGTTAACTGGAGAGGGAGAGGCATTGCTATTTTGAAGGAGGAGGAGAGGGTGTTACAGGGAGACGGCCGGGCGTATGTAAAGGGTTTGACACTGGGGTTGTGGCTCTCCTAGAGTGCTGGGAGGAATATGGCTCTTTGTCTGTACCTTCTGAAGGTCACTGGGAAGGACATGGTTTCAAGGGTGGGTGGTGTGCCTGCAAGGGACAAAAATACCATCTCTTTCCCAGCCTCAAGTCCCTGTGCCCCCCTGGCATGGACAGTCCCCACCTGCAGCTGCTGCCAGCTCTCACTGGCAGCCCAGGCAGGCATGGCTGGTGTGCCAGCTAATGGGCCCACCATTAGCACTTACGCCTTTCGTCCTGGCAGCTGGGGCAAGTGCAATGCTTCTGGTGAAGAAAAGGGCCCTGACCCAGCAGCTGGGAAGCAGGGGGTGATTACAGCTTCACCCCGCTCAAGATATAGACAGACAGGCAGACTGACGGACTGAGGGGGAGGTGGTGGTAAACACCAGCTGGCCCTGTGGTCACCCACAGCTGGGGGCATTCCAGGTCAAGCTGAGGGGAGGGGGCTGGCCAGAGCTCACTTCTGCCTCATACTAGGACAAGAGCACCCAGAGCCAGAGATGCACCCACACTGTCACCAACTTGGCATCTCTATGGCCTGACATGTGGACCTCCCCTTTCACACACCATGCCTGGGCCAGCAGGCAGCACCAAAGACCAGCTAGTCCTTTGCCAGACGGGGACACTGGAGCCCAGAGAGGGGCAAACCCTTGCTGGGCCCCACAGTTACTCAGTGTCTTAAGCAGTACTGGTCTTAGTACCCTCTGGATGCCCCTGAGACCTTGGCCTTCCTTCTTGGCAGGCCCCTGTGGTGCCCACTCTGGCTTGGGATAAACTGTTCCTGCCTCTGGGAGTAGCTGCAAATCAGAGGTCAGGAGTCTGGCAGGATGATCCTTGGAAATTTGGGGTCTTTTGCAGCGTCAGGAAAAAAATAGGTTTGGGGCCGAGGCAGCCTCTTTGTCTTCTTGTTTGGGGCCTGGACTGGGAGGGAGAGAAAACCAAGCTGAGGGTGGGTCTTTTCATTCCATCATTCCCTCTTCCTTCACTCCCAGTCCTGTCTGTTCTGCATATAGTCCTGGGTGGGGAGGGAAGATGCAGGTATGTCAGAAGCAAAGAGCTGGAGCAAGAGCCGAGGGTCCTGGATACCCAGAAAGTGGAGGAGCTGATGGCCGGGGCATGGGAGAGGCCTCACTAAGAAGGAACAGACAAGCCGGGCCTCCAGGAGGAACAGAAGGCATTGGGTAGAGATTGGGAATGGGTCTGGAGTGAGGTGTTCAGTGTGGCTGGGGCATAGGAGGAGCTGGGTGATGAATGAGGATGACAAGGGGACAGGAACAGTCAGATCCTGGGACCCTGAGCACAGGCTGAGGGCTGGGTCCTGCAGAGGAGTTACCAGAGTGGGGGCTGTTTGCAGGCGGGGGCATGGTCTGAGTGGTAGGTGCCAGTGGCTACCACCATGTATATTTCTTTTTTTTTTTTTTCAATTTTTTTTTTTTAACGTTTATTTATTTTTGAGACAGAGAGAGACAGAGCATGAACGGGGGAGGGTCAGAGAGAGGGAGACACAGAATCTGAAACAGGCTCCAGGCTCTGAGCTGTCAGCACAGAGCCCGACGCGGGGCTCGAGCTCACGGACCATGAGATCATGACCTGAGCCAAAGTCGGCCGCTTAACCGACTGAGCCACCCAGGCGCCCCTACCATGTATATTTCTGATCAAGGGGCTGAGGTGGCACGGGGACCCGTGGGTCCCGTGGGGTGGTGGTGTTGGAAAGGGAGGGAGAGAAGGGCCAGTCCTGAGCTCCTGGGGTGGTGGGATCAGTCCAAGGAGTCATCAGCTCATTTATGTGTTCACTGTAAAAAATCATCTGTTACTTCCAACCCCACATGAGCTCCCTAAGGGTAGCAGCCAATACCCACCAGGCAGCAAAGGAAGAATGCCATGGTGTGGGCAAGGCAGGGCAGGGCTCAGGGTGGCCTGGAGAGATGGGGACCAGGGAGGAGGACAGACAGGTTGAGCGGGCCTGGATCATAGACATGAACCCCCTGGTATCTGGCAGCCCAGCTGTGAATCTCTGCCATCAACAGGTATGTCAGGCCGGTCTAACCACCCTGTGCCTCAGTGGTCTCATCAGTTTAAGTAGGGATAATAATCCACCTGTCCCCCAGAAGTGCCAGGCCCAGAGCTGCAGTGGCAAGGGCCTACCCGCCCCTTATTGGTCCCTGGGTCCCAGCAGGCAGCTCTTGGTGCCTCTTCCGGTGTTTGGCAGAGACCACCAGGAGGCATGGCTCAGAGGCCTGAGCAGCTGTGGAGGACACATGAGCACCACCAACTGGCTTGGTCCCTGAGCGTTCCATCATCCCTGGCATGGGAGGTTCCTTGAGTTTGGGAGGAACCCTGCCTCAGTCTACCTTCTGGCTTACTGTGACCCTCTGAGATGCTGGCTTCACAGTAATGGTGCCGGTATATCCAGCCTCAGTCCAAATCACACACAGCTGCCTGAATTTGTGAGGGTTACCTGGGTTTGAAACTGGGGGGCAGTGAGGCTTCCCTTTCCTCCTCCACATTCTGGGCCCTTCCACCCTCAAGAAGAGACCTATCACCAGCTTCTCACCCCTCCACTCCCTCGGCACCTGGGCTCCTTCTGAGCTCTCCTGGTGGAAGAAGGGGCTTTTGTGGCTGTGACAGCCTAGTCCCCTATCCTAGGCTCACGGCCTCCTGGAAGACAGGGAACTCTGTCCCCTTCCCGCAGTGACTCTTCCAAGTCAGCGTATTAAAGTCTAAAAAGTCCTGGAGTCAAGGGACTTCTTTGCCCTAGGTTCTCTCCAGAGTCTGGGCACATCCTTAACCACCAAGGTTAACACCAACTTTGGGGAGCATCACTTTAGAGCAGCATGTCTGCCCGCGGGGGACTCCATAGCTCCTCTGGGGTGGAGTGAGAGGTTCATAGCTGCACCCTCTCTCCCAGCACCAAGGGGAGCCTCAAATGTTTGCTGAATGCTGGACAAAGGTTCCAGGCTCTACTCCACAGAGCTCTCAGTGCCCCTCCAGTGTTTCTGGGCAGCGCCCCCTCCCCCAAATTCACATCTGTCCTTGCTGGAGGTGGGCAGGTTGTAGGGGCTGGGGAGGGCACTGCAGTTCTTACCTTGATGTTGTCCTGCCAGCGGTGGGCTTTCTGGAAGTTCTCTGCAGCGTCGGCCAATCTCTGAGGAACAGAGCACAGGGAGGTCAGAGGCTGAGGAAGACTCATGCCCAGCCCAAGCCTTCTCCATCCCTAGTACTCCCTGGGTCCAGGCTGGCTCACGGACTCCCTTGTCCCATCCTGCCAGACCCTCAGAGATTCCTTGGCCCCAGACCTTCTTCAGCTTGCTGAGAAGGGTGCCCTTCCCCCACCCACAGCTGGGTTCATGTAGGACAGGTGAAGCCTGCACAGTGACCTGAGTGGTATCTTCCTGTGACATCTCTATGAGACTCCCTGTACTTTAGCCCAGGCACATCTCCTGCCCACACGATGGCAGGGGGACCCCTGGGATGTAGTAGGCCTCAGGCCCTGGAGTCAAGCCCCACTGCCACTCTACCTCCAATAAACCAGTGTCACTCCAGTGCCAAGAGGAGGCCCTCCCTAGTCAAGGGTGAACTGCCACAAGTGACAGAGTGCCTTGCCGATGTGTCATTGTCCCCAGCTTGCTCAGGGCCCAACAGGAGGTACCCCTAGCACACCTCTGCCCACCCAGGCCCCCTACCACTGTCCCTGTCCTGGTTTCTTGAGCCCCTTCCCAGCAAGGCTCTCCAGGCCTTCTCTCCACACAAGCCTGGCCCACCCTTTGGGGCTGGTTCCTGCACTCTCCTCCATCATGGCCCCTGTGCCTGTGAGCACAGCTCTGTGTCCTTCTATCCCACACCCTGTTACCAACCACGCCTGGCACCAGACCATGCTGATGTGTGGAGATGTGGCAGGCCAGCCAGCTCTGTCGTCTCACAATTTAGAGGAGGAAACAGGCACAAAACTGGGTAGAACCAGAGCAGGAGTAGCTGAAGTGCTTCTAGGAAGCTTAGTGCTGTGGGAATTCGGGATGTCATGGAGGGCTTCCTGAAAGAGGCATTGGTACTCTGCCACCCTCAGGGCTTGAACCCTGGCTGCCCAGAGATTCTTATTTTGCACCTCCATGGATTCTGTCCCTCCAGGAACTCT